ATCCTAAAAAATATGTACTCAGTATCTATGTTCTTGAGTGTCTTTTTGCCACCCGGTCTCTGGAATTTTCAATGGCTGTTTTTCTCCTCAGCTTCCAGCCTCCCACTGTCTCGTTAGTCCCTTGATTCATTCTCTCACCGCCTCCTCTCTCGGCTTTCACGCCGAAATTCTGAACTTCCTATGCCAAATGGAGTTCTTGGTACTTACCTATTTCAGCATGGAGTCTTCAGGCCTCACCTTCCTATAAAAAGATGATCTAAATAAAACAAGTCTTTCTCTAGGAGTTCCGATGACATCTGTTGAAATTGTAACTTTTTTAAAAAAGATTTTTAAATTTTTATTTATGAGAGAGAGAGAGAAAGAGAGAGTGTGTGGGTGTATGAGCTGGGAGAGGGGCAGGGGAGGAGAGCACTGAGCTGGGAGCCCTACACAGGGCTCAATACCAGGACCCTGGGATCATGACTTGATATGAAGGCAGCCGCTTAACCAACTGAGCCACCTGGGCGCCCCGGCTAAAAAACTTTTAAATTCAGGAGTACCCACTTGGGCTCAGTTGGTAGAGCAGGTGACTCTTGATCTCGGGCTGTGAGTTCAAGCCCCACACTGGGTGTAGAGATTACTTAAAATCTTAAAAAAAAAAAAACTCTTAAATTCAGTCCGTGCCCTCGTCAAGCTGCCCGGCGTTGCCATTCCCCCTTTGCTGGTCCCGCACAGTTCTTGCTCACAGGTTTTGCAAATGTTAATTCCTTACAAGCCCCAAGCCCCACCGCACCCATTCCATTTTCCAGCAAGTTTGACTAGTGTCTCTCTCCCGTCATACTAACAGTGTAACACTTACCAGCCTGGTTTCTGGGACTGATACTTGTATAACTGTACTCTATTCAATTCTGCATCTCAAAAGTGCCTTTCACGTAATAGGCACTCAATACATGCTGAAGTGAACTTGACGAGCACACAAGGCAAGAACACCATTTTCAGCTCCTAATCAGATGGCTAACATGACAAGAGCTTCTGAGGGCAGCAGAATCCACGGATGTAAAGTAGGGACACATTCATTCAGTGAAACTTTATTAATTTCTCAGGGATGCACCGATCACCTAGGAGTCTTTTCATTTTCCTCCGCTCAGCTGTGCATTAGCCCATTTCCTGTGTTGTCTGGGCAGGGTCTCTAAAGAGGGTTTTCAATCTTCTCTATTTCCCAACCTATCAATACCTGTTATTTGGGGGGAAAGAGATGGAAAGTGTAAGAACCCCCAAATCTCACTTTCTATTTTCAATCAGCCAAGTGGCAGAAAGCATGGGAGTCCATAAGTTATGGTGCAGGTGAGGACAGTTGTCCACAGAGTCCCTATGAATGGGCTGGGCACCCCCCCATACTGTAACCATGGCTGCTTCCAGTAGTGCAGTCTCACAAGGACTAAAGCCAGGGCAGAGTCACGATATATACTGTGCACGGTATTATTCTTGGCAGGAGGCACAAACAAGTGGTGGCAGAGCGGAGGCACTCAGGAGTGGAAAGGACAATACTCCAGGGAGGAAGTATTGTACATTTGTACCTAAATGTACAAACACTCATGTGATAAAAAATATATCAATTAAGATTCTAGACAGAATAGGACAGCTATGCACTTTACATGAATGATATAACGTAAGAAGTGATGGCAATGATAATGGTGATCCCTTCTATGGAAATGAAGTGGATTTGACCAAGGCTACATAGCTACTATGTACTGGGCTGGAATTCAAATCCAAAGAGTAGGACTTCATGGCTGTGATCTTAACTCTAGTTTCTATTACCTCATGTATTATGTGGGGTTGAATTAGGAAGTGGTGAATTTTTTATAATTACAGAGGAAACTGACACAGCAAAGGGTTCGCCACCTGGCCTCCCAACTGCAGAAAGGCTGGTTAGAAATTCACTTGGATACTTTCTCAAGTTGGGACATCTCTGCGATGAACTGGGTGAGGATAGTTACGTGCTTACCCAAAAGTCTGGCTTTTCTCTGGTTCACAGCTATAACTTGTGGCCTCTGGTGTATGCAATTAGAGACAACACGATAGTGCCTGGGTTGCAAGCATCATCCCAGATAGCAAAAATGTGGCAGCCAGGGCCGGTAGGAGGTGGTCCCTCCCACGAGAGGCAGGGATGACCATCTGGCTGAATGTTCAGTGTTACAAGAACCCTGCATCTCAAGCAAACTATCCTGTGCCCCACTCGTGTGGGCAACACTGACTGAGGATCACCCACTATGTTCTCTAGAGGATATGAGACAGAAGACTGGAGGCCTTACACGAGCAATCGTCACCAGAGCCAGGAGACATGGTGGGTCATTGCACAGCAGCGTTTCCAGCTGGGGTATAGGTAACATTATAGGTATGTTTCTATCATTAATTTGCTTTGCAATTCTACTTATTTTATTTTATGCGTTAAAAGACATTCTGTGAAGGGGGTCCAGAAATTTCATTGGGCTGCAAGACAGATCCAAGGCACAGGAAAGCTTAACCATGCCTGGCACCACAGAAGACAGCTTTCTAAACAAAGGAGCAGCTTAAAGCACCAAGCTGTAACCACCAGCAAGGACAAACTTCCCTTTTCAGAGAAGTCATAATCCACGGAACAGTCTAACGCCATTATCATAATACAACTCCCATGAAGAGTTGGCGTTGCTGGTGATGGGAAGCTAGAGACTGCGTGAGACATTGATTAACTGATGCTGACCACCCTAAGACAAGGTTAGCACAAAAATCCCCATCTCATGTGCTCCAATCAGTCAGCGATTACACCATTATACACATGAAACAAGTAGTTATTCTGAATTGAAACACCCCTAAAAATTTTATCTTGTGTGACTGGGTTTCCTGAAGGTTTTCAAAATAATTACTTAATTCTTCCACATAAGGAAATTAAAAACAACACAGACCAGACAGTCTGCAGAGTTTCCTTCTAGGAGAGTGGAGCATACTAATTCCAATATATGAAAAGAAAACAGAAGAAAATACGAGCTGATAGGTCCTAATCCTTATCCTAAATGGTATAAGAGAGTAGAACTTGGCTAAATCAAATGAAAAATAATCCAAAGATAATTCACATTTTTCTTGGAAATCCATTTTAATACTGTACTAATGCTGAATGTGTCTGATATTTTCAGGTTTAATTTCATATCAGATTTACACACGTGTACACGCAAACATACACATTCAAAACCCTATTTATCAGAAGGAATCACGAAGGATAATGTCTACCTTTCCTCAGTAATTTTGCTTAACTCATGCTTTAAGATTAAAGTAAGCAATTACATACAACATCTGGGCTCCAAAATAATAAATTTAGATTGTGAATGAAGTCAGAGACACAAATAACAAAGACAAGCACAGATTGGTCAATTTACGAGTCTAGTATTTAAAATATGACATTCTCTGGTAGTGTCAATTTAAACTGGGTGCAAAATGAGAAAATGCATTTCAATTCAAAACACAAACTATTTTTATAAATTGGAAATAAGTCAGAAATACTCAGGGCTATTCTGAAAGGTTGAAAGGGCCAGTGTGTTTATCTCTTGCCCTCCCATGTGGATGAAGGTCCTGTGTGTCTTCCGAGCCCTTGTGGACACCAGATGGATATTTTATAACATCCGGTTTATGTTCTAAGTTTCAGTGTTTTAAGAATTGGGTTTGCCTTGGCTGAAAGTAAACTGAATATTTTTTTATATTCCACCAATATTTTCTTCAGTAATGATTGGTTTAGTAGCACTTCATGAATGTTTTCAGATGCTTTGTTGCCAAAAATGTGTAACCTTTATGTAAAACCAAAGTATGCATTTTTGAAATGTTTTTAAAAAAAAAACCTTCCTAACTTTCCCACAGTGTTGTTATAGGATCAATTAGAGGAGATGGGCATATTTCAAATGATTTTAATTTGATGTTTTTCTTATCTTAAACAGTGAATAGCCATCCCACAAAATGTAGGGGAAAAAAAGAGTCAAAGAATCCCAACAAAAATTTCCCAGATGGTCTCAGAGAGGTGATAAGGGAGGTGAGTGTTTTGAGTTTTTAAACCTTTGGTTTCCATATTGATGTTGCCCAAGTAAGAAACTGAAAAGGGGTTAGGCAAAGAGAATAGCTCAAATTTGCCTATTAGGAACTTTATAAATGTTGACTCTTTGATCTCGCCAATTTTGATCAGGTTCATGATTGAGCAGTGAAAGGATCTAAAGAGCTTTCTGAAAGTTACAGCAGGGGTCAAATGCAAAATATTAAGGTGACAACGGTCATAGATTACAGGCCACAAGAAGCCATGTGCAAATTATATAAAGCCCTTCTATATCTTGATCATTTTCTTTGAAAAGATGGTTCCGGTTAATCTTTAAAAGAATGAAATAAAATGCAATCAATAATGTGCCACTAATAGGTACAGTGTAAATATTATAGTATAGTTAATAATTTAAGAACCTAAAAGTCATCCAGAAAAAAAACCCAACATATTTCAAAATAATTTTAAGCTGATACTTGAAAATATGATTTGATTTTAAGGTTACAATATATGAAAATATATAATTCAAAATACTTTTTAGTTTTATTAACACGTTGTGGGTAGCTTTTTCAATTGAGAGCTTGAGATTTTATCATTCTTCTTAAGTTACAAAAAAAGTAGTGTAATTGAAATTCAGTCTGCAAATAATTCATCCAGAACCTTCAAGTTTTTTTTTCATATTTTGTGTTTGAGAATTCAAATGCTACTCTAGTAAATGAGGACAGAAAGATGTTTTATATGCTTATTTGACAAAAATACTATAGTTATGTAAAATCACACAAGAACACACCAAATCTTTTTTTCTGAGGTTTAATTTTAACTAATGAATTTTAGATGATGAATGTAATGTCAATTCAAATCTTTGCTTATCTGCAATGCACAAGCTATTTTTTGTAACTTGTAGGTGAAATAGATTCTTTTCACCATGGCAACAATTTCTCCCTTGTTTATGGTCTTTCTTTTTCTTTTCTTTTCTTTCTTTCTTTTTTTTTTTTTTTTGTAGTGAGTCCTTTTTCTTCAACAGTTTAATAAGTCACTTCTGGTTTGGCTAAAGAGCAATCCTAGCACAATAATGTTTCAACTTGCAAGGAAGAACGCCCTTATTGAGTTGATAGAACTCCACCAGCTGGATTAGATCTGTAAATCTCGTGTGGCCATCATCCAGGGTGTGGAACAGTTCACCATCGTCTTCCACCTATTGGAAGGAAAACAACAAACTGGTAAGAAGGACAAACACCGACAAGGACAGTCATTCTCCATCACATGCCGTGTCTTCATACACGAAAATGGAAGAGTGGATGAAACTAAAGAGAGTGGAAAAAAAAAAAAAAACCTTATGATGTGTTCACTTTTTCCTGTAACTTCACTTGTATACAGAAGAAATATCATCTGACCCTAGGATCCACAGGGTTGCTCTACTTTCTCTACCTCAAATTCTCCCAACATTCTATAGTTAGAATAGTATGACTATTGTGAATCAACAGTGAGAAATCTGCACTATTCAGTGTAAAAGTAAACAAAACATTTTAATGCTCCCACAGAAATTAATTTCCGTATCTGAATGCTGTCTACTTAACAGCCTCAATTAGTATATTAGAAACAAATATTCACATAACTTCTACCCGTAAACTGATTCTGAAGCAATCAAACATGTTAAGGGGATGACAGCTTCTTCTTCTTTTTTTTTTTTTTCCTGGCAGTGAGGTCTTGTGACATTAAACAACTCATACTCACCCAGGGACATTATTTACATACTCAGTGAAGTTGGGAAGATACTTCATATGGACTTTGGATAACTCCAAAAAGAGGCCATTCAAAAGGAAACACTAGCAAGGTAGCAATCTTACGTAAAAATTCCCTGAAAGTAGACGGAATCTCTATGCCACGTTACCTGGTTCTGATACACAGATCACATGCACACACACACACACACACACACACACACACACACACACACACAGAACATCAGCAGAAGCAACAAAAATCCCAAAGCCAAGTTGTGCCACCCAGAAGCAGAATTACAGAAATTTTTGAAATGTGCTCAGAATAGTTTAAATGTTTTCCGGTTCTGCAGCACCTGGGTATCTATCCACAATGATTAAAAACAAAACTAAGAAAACAAAAAAACATGTTTGAGATAAGAAAGGAGGAAGGGTTTGAAAATAATGGTTTTTAAAGAACCGCTAGTAGAATTCAGAAAGACTCTTTAGTGGCCTTTTAACAATAGGTGGCATGGGGTCTATACAATATTGGTAAATCATATTTCATGGAAAAAAGGAAATTTAATTTTTACAATTCCTGTATTTCTTATATTAATTCAGGCTCATAAAACCATTTCTGCCAAACTTAAGTCTAGTCAAAGCACAAGCTCCCCAGTTATATTAAATAAAAGATCCAAAGAAAACCAAAGTTTCCAAAAGCTTATGCATTAAGATCATCTCTAATATACGAATGTGAAATTACAAATTACTTACTGGTATAATTTGAAAATGCTTTATTTTTTGTCCATGACTCATTGACAGTACGAAAGTTTTGGGGTTACTCTGACTATCCCGTACCAAGAAAACTCTAAAGAGAAAGAAGGAATTTCAATATGTTTCTATATTTACTCATGTATTTTATAAAAATATAGCATGTAACAAATCCAGGAAATATATTTATAAATGTAGCCAAGAGTTTTCCTTTACTGTGTATTCAATGATGGGATTATCCAACATGGTTAACAATATGGTATAACATAATTTTATACTATAAAACTGTCATCAATGCTAATTTCACTTTAATAGGATAAATACACAACCTGCTTGTTAGACTGTTCACCCACAATAGGCAATATGGTGCTGTGCTATTATCAATAATTAGTGTTATGTTCTTTTTCCATTGGAGAATTGGGTATTCACATGTAACACGTGTGTGCAGAGAATGGGGCATTAGCATATTATTACTTTAACTTCTGGGTTATGTTAGTCCCCGAAAAGAGAAAATTATTTAGAACAAAATCATTTTTAACCCCTCTTCAACACTGATCCCCCTTTATTTTCCGACTCTGGTTCCTATGTTACATACACATCAGAGTGAGAAATGAATATATTCTAAAAAATCAATCCTGAAATCATCTATTAAATGTTTGAGTATAATGCTTTAAGTAAAAGAAACATCCAAACAACATATATTTTAATCTTGAAGAATGCAGCAGAAAAGCCTTTATAATGTCAGGCTAGCAAAATCTAAGACATGGCCTAATGGCCTAAGAGAAAAATGCTGCCAGGCGTGGATTCTTATTTACTGGCAATAAATACAGTGCAAAACCAGCTTTGTGTTAATTGTTGGAAAACAGATTGTGCAAACAATCCCCTCTGGTAACTCCAATACTTATCTCACTGTGCCTGGGCATGGAATTTGAGCCATCACAGACGTCGGATGAGATTACCCATTTCATTTGTACTGTGTGAGATTCCTACATTACATCACTGGGAGATGGGACAAAAGGGAGGTTCACTCATAAAGCAAGCTGTAATTCCTTCTCTGTTCCCGAGGATCACCACTACCATCTAGTGGACTGCCTGGCATCATCACATCTTTCCAAAGGATTCTGCACCAACCCCCACCCCAATTTTTTATTAAAAAATTAAAAAAAAATAAAGATATTATCCTTCTTTTTGCAATTATTTCATTCAACTTATAAAAACTAGGCTCTGAAAATAGGGAAACTATAATCCTCCCAAACATTTTAATGATTCTCTATGATTTATTTCTCTTCTTGGTCTCATCAGATTGTAATTCTGCTGATTGTTGAAATTTATATCTAAAAAGACTGTGCTCCACATAGACAAGTATATTAAAATCTTCTCTTATTTAGAGTCTAGTGAAATGCTGACTTGCTATTAATAATATTCCATGTGAAGATGCATTTTTATCCAAATGTCAGTATTAAATCACCTTGAAATCTTGTCATCATCTTAAGCCAACCCTTGAAGATAAAAGACCCCATCACCACTTGTTTAAATTGATGCTGGTTTCATTTCTTATCCAAACCTCAATACAACCTCCTTGATTTGCACTGCATTTGAAAAGGGAATTTAGCCAGTATTACAGGAGGTATTTGAAATACCGAGTCATTTGAGAAAAAGAAAACTCTTCAGACTGTAAATATTTTGTAATACAATTTACATTTCTCTTGTATCTCCCGTGGTACCCCACTAAAAGATGACATGAGAAACACTCAAGAAGTACTCTTTTCATAGATTTACACTATTTTAAGCTGTGAAAATTTAGAGAAAATAGGAATGTAAACAGAGAGAAAAAATAAAACAAGCAGTCAAAATATATAAAAAAGAGTGTTTTAACTGAATATACTCTGCATCAAACTTAAAACTATATAGAACATGTAAGATTATGTCACGACACAAACCTTACTTTGGAATCATATGTTGTTGATACCTCAAAACAAGTTCAGTTTTAACTGAGATACTAGTATTGGCATAGAATGGGTAATATTAGTAATTATTAGTTAACAGCAGAGCATCCTATTCAGTTATCTGTTCGTTTATGCACCAGTACTAAGCACACACGATGTAACAGGTAGTTTATAGATATGGCTAGGATATGACGGTAACCTCTAGAACAAAGTCACTTCTGTCTTATGATAAGCTGAAGTAAAAACTATGTGTATTAAGTAATTACCGATTCTAAGAGAAATCAAAATCACAACCATTCAAAATCAAACTTACCCATCCACAAGTCCTTGCTGAATAATCAGTCGCTGAGCTTCATCTCTAGAAATTTTGTGGTGAAACCATGGCTGGGACCGGTGGATGGCTGAAGAAATAAAATGGAGGAATACAGAGCTTTGTTTGAAACCCTCCCAATTTAATCACATATACTTTCTACCAGAGCTACACAGTCACCTCACCCAAGTGCCATCCATCCAGACATGCAGTCCCCATGAATAGGCACAAACATACCCATGTTTGTGGCCGAGCTCTGGGAAGGGGCAGTTGGGCTACCGTGGGTGGCCAGGCGTAAACATCCTTTTTTCTGTGCAAAGAAAGGGGAAACAAATTTCAACTTTTGGGGTGAGACAAACTCAAATCATAAATATTGTGAAGAATGTGAAGCTATTTGTACCCTCCAAGCAAGTCCTTCTTCAACAGCGACTGAAAGAGCTTCCGTGGGATTTTCTATAACTCTGCTTTTCTGTCCTGAGAAGTCCATTGCTACGAGAGAATTCTCTGATATACTTCTCTGGGGGGAAAAAAACACACATGTTTTTTACCATGAAAATATCTTTGAATGTTCTCTCTCAGTGTTTTGCTGGCAATACATTTCCACTCTAGAATGTGATTCCAAAGGTGGCTGGCAGGAAATTTAAAAAGTCAAAAGTGTATATTTAAGATAAAAAGGGTGCTATGAAATATTTTGGTTAAATAAGTTACACAGTTATTTATTAAGGTCACTGGATTAAGTGGTTGAGTAAAGAGATTAAAAGCTTTCAGAGTTAGCATGTCTTTCTCTTAAAAGAACCCTATCTCTTCATATTCTCTGGTAAAATGGGAAAACACCAATTTAGAAAGGAGTAACTCTTCCTGAGGCTAAAAGACCCACCACTTCTGAACTAATCTCTATTATGATTTGAGATTCATCCGTTATCATTTAAATGTCAACCCTATCTACTGACAAAGCAGCTGTTTTTTAAGATTCAAAATAGACAAAAGCTGTAACTTAGATTGACTTACATCACTTTGAGAAAGAAAGAGTACTCATATTTTATAATGGAACAAACTACAATATGTATTTTAAAACTGCATCACATCAATGTTCATCTTACTTAGAAAATAAAATTTAGCGGTGCCTGGCTGGCTCAGTCCGTTGAGCTCTGACTCTTGATTTCGGCTCAGGTCATGATCTCAGGGTCCTGGGATGGGGCCCCGTGATGGGCTCCACACTCAGTGGGGAGTCTGCTTGAGGGTTCTCTCCCCCTCCCCCAGCTCATGCCCATGCGCACGTGCAAGCCTCCTTTCTCTCCCTCTCTCTCAAATAAATAAATACATCTTTAAAAGAAGAAAAGAAAATTTAGTGAAATGACTCTACTAATTCCATAATATTAAAATTTCTATGATTTACTTATATGAATATATTTTCAACTGGTGAGGATGCACATGGAAAACTGAGAGCTGCAAAAATAAATGTGACTGACAAAAAAAGAACTGATATAGAAGGAAGACATCGCCAAGCAAACCTAATTTAAACAAATAATACAGTCTTCCTTTGGCATTACTTTTTGTCTTCGTATTCTCTGAAGGGGAATATGTCCAAACCTGGACTTTAGTTTTACTTTTTGATTGTTTAGGGCTCTACTTTGCAACCATCTTTTTAAAAAGAGTGCCATTCCCAGTCATGCATCCTAAAAAAAAAAAAAAAAAAAGACAATTATCAAATCTCCAGTCGAGAGTCTCAGTCAGTTTGTAAGAAGTAACACTCCCCCAAAGGAAAAAGCATTCAAAACCAGCAATGGAAAATGTTTAACACTTACTCCCCACTCATTAACAGAGGAGCGAAACCAAGAATGGAGTTCTAATGGTAAAGGAAGAGCTGGTGTGCCTCTGGAGATTCGTGGCTTAAGACCATTTCATATCTCTCCACATGGATTCAGCCCTTCCTCGCTTGGTCTAAAAGACTAGTCAAATGTATGCTTAAAAGAACACCTCATCCATGCAAAAAATTGGGGGGCTCACTTATCACTGCGTCATACATCCTATGTCATTAGCATTTGCTATCTACCCTTTAAACTCTGCTGTAGTGGCCCACAGTCTTATTACGGTTCATCTGTATTTCCAGAGATCCGGCAGGCAATCTTTCATTTGTTACAGGAGCCTTTGTAACAGACAGCTGCTCTTTCCAGAAAGATGCTGTCCTTGTAATCTCTATTTGCTGTCACACCTTCGTTTGCCCTTCTCCCCGCGTGATCTTCTGTGCGGGGCTGGAGACTAGTCAGAAACACTGCTGCTTTGCGGACACTAATGAAAAGCCTTCACCTGCCCAAACCACAGAGTAACTAATCTCAATCATAATGATAGCTTTGTCCTTATAAGATCTCTACTTCACATGCCAAGATGGGCCCCGTAATCACCACGTCCTGATAACATAAAAAATACTATTAGAAAAGAAAAATAAACTTAACCGGTTGTTTTTGTTTGCCTACGATACAACAGGATAGAATGTAAAACGAGGTCCCATGTTCCATAATTACTTGATATTAGTAGGGACTCTACAATACAAATAAATATTTTCATCTGCTATATTAACTACACTAGGGAAAACACAGGAATATAGCAAATGGCTCTTACTGAATAGCAGGTGGTGGATGAAAAATTAATAGTTTACCTTTGGTGGACAAAGAAATAGAAGTGAAGCGGAATCTGACTTGAACTCAAAAGGTCATTTTCAGCTCAATTTCTTTCACATAAGAAAGCAATGTTGATAACATTCAGAATCAGTGTATTTCTCAAATATTGGTCCCTTTTTCTAGCTCTTTCTTCTGGTGGAATAAAGAGGGCAAGCCCTGGAAAAGGGCCCATGATTTTAACGACATACCTCTTTTTTCAAGAAAGAAGAGGCCTGGGTACACCCTGGATTATCCAGGCCACACTCTGAGATCAGATCCAGTCACTCTTAGTGAGCTTTGGACATGAAATGTTTTTCAGGTAGTGTAGGCAGGTGGCAACGAGTAGCCAACACTCTCTGTCACCCCATTTGAAAGATGTAGATAAACCTGCAGCACGGTCCTTAGCAAGAGGGCACAGGAGTTCCTGATATCATTCCCTCTGCTTCATTCTCTCTACATCTCTGATACATCAGAGATGTAATCAATTTCTGAACTTAGGCAACTGTCTCCCTTGTTTTACATTGCAGGATACCAGTGACTAAACCAAGGTCACATGGGCAGCTTATGGTAAAAGCAGTGACAGACAGACTCTTTCCGGGTTCTTTTATGTACCACAGAGGGGGAGGAACAGGGAAGAAAGTGCAGTTTTCAACGTCTAGCTCAGGGTCGAGAGTGAGGAGTAGTAAGGACTTCAGTAGACTAGTTTTCCCCATCCCCTCTCTCCAGTCAGGGCCATACTATCAGATGCTCCTTTGTGCTGAAAAGGACCACATATTTGGCTTCCTGAAATATCTGCTGATGATTCTCATTTCAAAGGCAGACAGGGGTGGCCATGATGTGCTGTACATAGCGGTATAAGACATTTTTTTTTTTTCTTATTTCCCTTCTCAAAATGTATCCCTGGAGAAATTAAGAATATTGTTCCCTTAAAAATATATAACTGAAGTATACTCAGTTTTCTATGATTCTCACTGAAGACAGTGTCTGGAAGGAAACCAGCCGACGCAGGTGAGGAACACTGGCATCCATTATATAGGTCACTGGTTCTTCTGTGATAACCGAGAAGGGTGGGACTCTGTATAGACATCAAAGTAAACATAAATACCTCCCCAAACATCTCAGTTTCCTTCATGTAAGTTAAGAAGAGTGGAGATATAATTCTCAAGTGCCATTCTGTTTGATCTTGACAACTGCCGTACAGGACAGCCAGGTCCTACTACACAGGCCCCCTACAAAATCCCCAAATTGCCAACCAGATTCACTCAAGAAGTGTCCTTCCCTATACATGGTGCTGAACAAGCAAAGTCACACTAACCAAACTGCCATGTACATAGCGATCAGCAATAGGGCCACTTTCCGTGGAAAGTGGCAAGACTAATACCATGCTTATATGCTAACGACAGCGATGAAACTAGACAGTACTTTGTTTATGACATTTTTTTCCTATGATTAAGAGGATACTAGGCAACTGCCTCCAAATGTATGGCTGCTATTAACATGCTCATCCTAATAACTTTAGACTCTAAAAGAAATTTAGAAGGATTTAGAAAAGGATTAAGATAATAAAATCCATTATCCTTTATATACATGTGGATTGAAAGATAAAGGTAAGCTGACAAATTATACAAATACTCACCTAAAGCCATTGCTTTTATAAAAATTCATTCCAGTCTTTAGTTTCTTATTTTAGGGCTTAAAAGTCATATGATACAGGGATGAGAAGTTACTCTTCCATAACCCAAAGCAACGTAACTACAGAATTGGTATTCTTTTTTCCCTATTAGTCTATCAGACTTTGTAATCAACATTATTTCATGCCTCATTCCTAGAACTGAGCATTTCATCTGCTACATTACATATGGGGAAATGCACCTTCCTCGGTCACAGCCACGAGGAGCATATATTTAACCTAAGTGGAAATGCTGCGTGTTAGCTGATTTGTAGCATAGGCACATACACCTAAATTCCTAATATACTCAGTATTAAGGAGCAAGAGCAAAAACAACTGAACATAAACTTTTAAGTGCAGAAATAAATTTCTTGTGTTAATGCACAATAAATTAAAATTAAATTCTAAAGAAGGGAAAAGATACGTCTGTGTATATCTGCAAATAAATGTTCAAGTTGCAGTTAGTATAAATCTGAGAAGTGGTGTTAGATTTAATGTAATGCACAGGCTATATTTTGGCTTGCGGCTTTGGGGTTTCCTGAAGAGCAGTTTGCTTTTCAAGGACCTAGACCTTAAAAATTTTACTGTTAGAAGCCCAGGATGCAAAAGAGCTCACCTGTGTATAGTGCAGCTTTTAGAATTCCAAACCACTGGCTTTGGTTTATACTAGGCTATGACAATTCCAGAATCAATATTAAAATAAACCCACAACCAAAATCAATAATTAAGGAAACATCTACAATCCCAAGGAAAACATTCTAAAAATTATATTAAAATTTAATCCTCAAATGTTGTAATGACACAGAATGATTCACATAACACTTTCAAATATTTACAAATTTTCTTCAACATATGACATTATCTGTTTCAAGCGAATACTTCATGATACTCTACTGCTGGGACTCGATCACACAGGCTGCAATCCTGTGAAATCCAAGAGTAAATAATTCAGTAGCATTATGTTGGGATGGTGTCAAAGACTTACTTAACTTGACCAGAAGGAAAGTACGTAAATGTACTGCAATGTACATTTATAATACAATATTACTGCAAATTGATATAATGTAAATATAAAATATACAGATTAATAAATATGGTCCTTACCATGGGTGAGACACTCTGAGAACTGCAGCCACTTCTACCTTGATAGGGATGCATGTAATTCTGGTACAGCTGCATGCCGTACTGCAGAACAGATACATAAAAACACACTCTCATCACTTCCACTATACAGGTAACTTGGGGGAAAAAACTCAATACTTGAATTGGTTATATATCATAATATAAGAAATAAAAATTTTAAGCTTTCCTTAAAACAAACTGGTAAGGCAACCATAATTTTGAAAGGTAAGCTTTTACTGCCCTACAATGATACACTTAAAAAGACAGTGTTTTTTGGGGCCCCTGGGTGGCTCAGTCGGTCAAGCGTCTACCTTCGGCTCAGGTCATGATCTCGGGGTCCTGGGATGGAGCCCCGCATCAGGCACCCTGCTCAGCAGGGAGCCTGATTCTCCCTCTGCCTGCCACCCTCCCTGCTTGGGCGCTCTCTCTCTCTCTGACAAATAAATAAATAAAATCTTAAATAAATAAAATTTTAAATAAATAAAATAAAATAAAATAAAAAGACAGAGTTTTTTACTTGAAACCACACTTAAGGTCTAGCTTGCCAGTATAAAGATCTGTAACTGACATTCCTACTCATTATTCTTAGCACCAAAACCACTTGGAATGGTATATCACCTAGTGAAAAGAGAGCTCACTTGGGAAGGATGTCAGACTTTATGGAACAAGGAGTCTGAAAACCTTACACGCATCTTAAGCAAAACAGAGTAAAATTCACCATAACTCTTCAATGACTGATTGACGAATTATATCATCTCTTCGGCAAATCCATAAACTTGGCTCTATGTTAAAGATTCTTGACACCGCAGTATCCTCTACTAACAATACTCTTAGCGCGTTGTTTAATTTTTGGCTTTAAATTCAGGGAAATCAAAATGGCAGGGATCTCACACAAAGGGTCACAAAATACAATGTAAACTGCAGTAGAAAAAAAATGCAGCATCTTTATTTTCAGGGAATAGCATCGCAAGACTCAGCTGCCAGGCTACTATTGGAAAGGGGGTCTGGACTGTACATGGATTACTAGGTTTGAGAAAATTAAGAATGCTAACTGCCATGACCAAACTTACTTCGGAGGGCTCACCATCTGAAGCTATAAGGTACTCCCCTTAGATTTAATCCACTTTGTTTAACAAACAAAAAAAAACAAAAGAAAAAGAATACAAAGCAAAACCACAATGGGACAGAGAGGCCTTTACATTTATTTTCTTTTCTCTGGCTACCCTCAACAATTCTATTTCACAGAGCCACAATGAACTTGGAAGTAGGTTCTATATAAAAGAGATTGAGGAGACACCATGGAATCCAATCTCACCCTTAGGATGAATTCCATTTAAACATTCTGAAAGAGCTGTTTCTCTACTGAAGACTATTTCCTTAAAAGTAATTCCAGCAAAGTGGATCTATTTGGTAATTAGGCAGAAAAATCAGAGGGTGGCATGGAGAGTCTCTGTTTCCAAGATTTTGCTTTTAACATGACTACAAAAACCCACATTCATTTAAAATTCTCTATGTTGACTTCTTTATCCAATTATTTCCCAACTTATAAAAATTATTTTTTAATTTAGTTTGATTGATATTAATGGGACCTAATGAAATTTACTTTAAATCAACCCTAAACCTACCATAACTATAAAAAGAAGAGAGAGGAGTTTAATTCCTAGTCAAGTTCATTTTGGAGACTATACAATAACCTCTAACCAATTCTTTCACAAGGTACACGCATGCTGTTTGGTCGCCTTTTATTTATCTGCAGTGAAAAACCAGCTACCTACTATTAAGCCTGTTTCCTTCAAAGATGTATTGTCCCTGATACCTTTAGTGTTAGGGAGTTGCTTCTGTGCTGTCGGTGGTCTTTAGGGGGCATTTAACTCTGGCAGAGCGGTAGGGCATGAGTCGCCTTAAAATGGCCCCGTCCTACAGAGGGGCAGACAAGGGGCCACACCAGGGAAGAAGCTAGCCGAGTTCTACTTGAAGGGAAGGGAAGAAGACAACACATAGCTAGGACACCGTACATGAGCAATTCTCAGATTTTCTATGCATCTATATATAACTGTTATTTCTCCAAAGAGGACAGGAGGATCTTACTCTGCTACTACATGAACAGTTCACATGTGTGTATGAAAAAGAAAAGGAACTAAAAATAAAACGAGAGGCCAAATTCTTGGAGGAGGCAGGATCTAGTAAGTAGCGTGTGAAGAAAATCTGGGGCCCTTTCAGTCCAGTCAACATAACAGACTCGTCTGTCCCTGCACCTCCCACTAAGCACAGTGATAAACTGGAAATAAGATAGACAACCAGAGTCGAAGATCCAAAGATACCTCTAACACCATGTGAGTTCAGTGCACCAGCCAGCGGGATGAAGCAGGTGCCCGGCTGACGACAAGCGGCCAGGGGAAACCACCTGACTCCCTTATTAGAGTCCTTCAAATGTGTCTGCGCTAGCAAGCCCTGGCTTCCTGTATCTGGATATTTTAAAGGGTAAAGCAGATCATATCACTTTCCCATTTGAAAGTGTTTGGTGGTTTATCATTGCCTCCAGGATAAAGGTTCCCCTTGATGGCTGCCTCCCTCTCTGCCTCACCTGGAAAAGATTTACCACAATTAAAAAAGGGGGAAAAAAAAACCACACAGGGAAAATGGATGGGGTAGGCAGAATAATGGCCCCCAGAGATGTCCACATCCTAATTCCTGGAGCCTGGGAATATGTTAGGTTACCTGGCCTAGAGGAATTCATGTGGCAGATACAATTAAGGGTGCTCATCAGCTGGTATTGAAATTAGGTGATTATCTAGATGGATCCAATATAATCACAAGGGCCCTTAGTAAGTGGAAGGGGAGGCAGAGAAGAGAAAGAAGTCACAGCATGAAAAGGTCTTAGCTCAACATTGCTGGTTTTGAGGGTAGAGAAAGAGACCATGAGCCAAGGAATCCAGGCAGCCTGTAAATTCTGGAAAGGGCAGGAGAAATGGATTCTCCCCCAGAGTCCCTGGAAGGGACTGCAGGTCCTTGGACACCTTGCATTTATGCCAATAAGTCCCATTTCAGACTTTCTGAATGACAATAGTGTAGGATAATAAATTTGTGTTTTAGGTCACTAAATTGGTAGTCATTTGTTACAGAAGCCATTGAAACTAATACAACAGACCATCTTTGAAGTGGACATTTGTGCCTTGAAAGAGGCTTCAAAAAGATCAAATGAAAAAAGAAAAAAAGTGAAAAGGGGACAATCTTCCAGGAACAGCATTCTGGATATGGAAGAATCAAAAAAAAAAACAAAAAAAAAAACTTTTAGTGTATTTCACCAATTCTTGGGACACATGCTTTTCAAATTTAACATTCATAAAAATTTGCCTTAACTATAGCATCTTATATTCACTGTGGACCAAGTGACTTGTCACTGCCTGAAATGTTTGGTGAGATCAAGAAATCATCTGCATCAAACCTTGCAGAAGGGCTAGAAAGACAACTCCAGAGACCATGGCAGAGCACCTGAGAAGTTCAGCCTCCTTGAAGCTCTTGACAGCACAGAGTGAGACAGTCTGTATGAAATATGGATAGCCATGGCTCTGAGATAAAAATGATTCAGGAAAGCTAGACTTAGAACATGAAGAAGTTTTAGAGATGCCTCACATAATTTATTTCATATGTGTGTGTGTGTGTGTGTGTGTGTGTGTGTACACAAAATTGATAAATGATGAAAGTCTACACCTATAGACCTAAATAAATCTAAAATAACAATGGAATCATTGGGTGTCTGATCTTGAGATCAAACTAGAAGGGAGGAAGCCTTGACTAACCAGATTGGAAAGCATCTCCTTTACCAGCCTAGCCTGATTTCCAGAGTTCTGATGGAAGGAAAGAGAAAACCAGAGACCTCAAGGTATTTTCTGACTATAACTATGTCAGGTTTAAGTATTCCAAAAAGTGTCAGCCTCTTCATCTGTAAAAGAAGAGGACTGGATGAGGTCACTGGTTCTTAGTCAGACAAACATCTGGAGTTCACTCACTGAATCGGGATCCCCAAGGATGGGGCTGGGCACACAGAACTTCAGAATACTCCTCAGGTGATTCCAAAGCACATCCTGAGTTAACTAGTTATTACTTCCTTGACTGGTTGGTTCCCCACACTCTCTAAAGTTCTTTTCTTTCTTTCCTTTTTTTTTTTTTACATTTTTATGACAATGAGAGCAACACAGAAGCAATTACTTACCATAGGGGTTTCAAAGAATCAAGACTTCTAAGCTTTGTTGAAACCAAAATCATGACAGTCATTTAACAGTAGACTATTTGAAAAACCTCTTGTAAAAAGGTAACTACAATGGCTATCTGCTATAACAGCAAAAGGAAGCAAATTTCAGAGTTAATCCAAAAGCTTCCTTTAAACCATTTAAAAATTTTTCTGCTGATACCACTTCACATCCACCGGGATAATTATTTTTTAAAAAAGGAAAATAACAAGTGTTAGTAAGGATATGGAGAAATTGGAATTCTCATACATTGCAGGTGGGAACATTAAACAGTTTAGCCACTGTGGAAAACATTTTGGCAATTCTTCAAAAGGTTAAACAGAATTACCATATGACCAGCAATTCTACTCCTAGGTATATGCCCTCCAAATTGAAAAACGGGTATCCAAATAAATACATGAACACATATGTTCATAGCAGTACTACTCATAATAGTCAAAAGATGCAAACAACCCAAATGTCCATTAATGGATAAATAAACTAACAGTTTGTATGTATGTATGTACACACACACACACACACACACACACACACACACACACAGGAATATTATTCAGCCATAAAAAAGGAACCAAGTACTAATATATGCTATAAGGTGGATGAACCACAAAACAGTATGCTAAATAAAAGGAGACACAAAAGGTCAGCTGTTGTAGGATTCCATTTCTATGAAATGTCGAAATAGGGAAATCCTATTGAGACAGACACAGATATGGATGGTTGCCAGGGGCCGGAAGTAACTGCTTAATGGGTACACAGTTTCCTTTTGAGTTGATAAAAATGTTTTGTAGCTAAAAGCTAGCTAGAGGGGGTGGGTGCACAACATTCTGAATGAACTAAATGGCACTGTATTGTTCACATAGTTAAAATGAACACTGTTAATAATATGCTCATCATATTAGCACAGCTGATTAAAATAGTTAATTCAGTTATTTTATGTTATGTGGATTTCACCTCAATTAAATAAATTAAAAGAATAAAAACTAAAACGATCTTCCCAACCTGGTATGACAACTAATAATTCTGATTCTGATTATTCTGCCCTTCTTCAAAGGGAAATGGTTGATAATTTTTATAATTATGAAGTTGTGTTAAATTTACTAACATACAAGTTTTGAAATTAAATGTGTTTTCTGTACATTCTAGAAGAAATCATTCTATGTCTTTCTTCCCCACACAACTTTTAGAACATTCTCATTCCTTTCAACATGCTCCCCAGTAAACTATGCTTATTTAAGTTGTAATTTCTACTTAACACAAAGGTTGATGTTTTAATAGTATATTACAGTAAAATTTGCATAATAATTTGAAGTAAACTAGAAAGCAACTTATACAACACTTAAACGAAATGTAAAACAACTGAACTAGGCATAGCTAGGTGGGCACATTTTGAAATACATGTCATGTTGGATTGATGGCAATATCTTAAAAATGTAGACTGAGCAGGTATAGAAGTTTTAATGAGTTATACTAGCTACATATGTGATACTCTTGGAAAAAAACAAAATTCAGAGCATTTCTAAAAATGGAATACTTACTCTACACGCATAAGATAAATGCGTTAGGCTACTCCACTCTACTAATGTTTATCTTTCAGATTAAAAAAAAAATACATTTGGATACATGGACTTACAGTGAGTCTTCACATTTTGAAATACAGACATTTTCAAACTTTGATGGCACTCACAGCATTAACAGAAACTCACGCCTGCAGTGAGATTACCTTAAGCAATCTAATCGCAGTCACCCAGCATGTCCTACTCTGCTCTTCTTCTGCACAGAGCATTTTCAGGTCTCGGGGCCCTCCCGCTTTGTTAGGCTAGAAGGCCACAGCACATTGTTTATCGTTAATGCATATCTTGAAGGTAACACCTGTTGAAATAAAAGCCACTAAAATTCTCCTATATATAAGAGAAAGCTGTCTCTTTTTTAAAAGAAATTAAAAGAAACCCAAGCTTACCTAAAAGGCTGAGGCTTGCTTTATTCATCTATCAAAATATTAAGCCTGTACCTTAAAGCAGAATCCATAGTTAGTCGGTGCTCCGTGTTTTTTTTTGCCTGCCAGGGACACATAAATATCACTATTGCCAAATTCGCTGAAAAACTGCAAATGCCGGGGTTCCTTTAAAAAGATACAGATGTGAGTGTTGAAATGAATCCATACTTTTGCACACCCTCTTTTGTATTTCTATTATATTACACAATTTCTATCTTGGCAAAAAATGATTCCAAACAATGGCACAGAAACAAAAAGGGAAGAAAAATGAAGTTACTATATCCGTCAAGAACCAGGAGCTTGATACAATATTATTTGAGAAGTGGCTATTTGTTTATCATTTAACTGCCAATACATGCAAAAATTTATATCTTCCTATTTTAAAATTTTTCTCGTTAACCACCGTTTCAGGAATCTCAGGGAGAGAAGGCAGCAAAGAATGGCTTTTGAAAATGTTTTCCTGGTCCAGGTTTCAAATAACGGTAGTTCAGCAAAGACAAGAAGGGTGGTTTGAGCTTCCACAGCAGTCAGAGAAGAAAAAGGAGAAAGAGACGAAGATTCCTGCTTTGTTTAGGAAAGGTCCCCCCTCACATGTGAGCACCGCCTAGCACACCACAGCCAGCAATGAAATAGGCGGTGTCACTACCTTCTGTACGAAAAGAAGGAGGCCTGTTCAGATGAGTTCCGGGAAATTACCTGGCAGTGGAATGTGTCTGGTTTTCAAGGTAAAGTGGAATCATGAACAGCTGTTTCTTCTCTGGGAAATCCATGAGATTTAAAGCTGGCCATGGGAAATCACTGGGTCATATTATTCTGTGATAGGTTAATAACTTAGAGAAGTGATCAATTCTGGGGCTGGATGTATAATCAAAACTGACCAAAATGCATTTGTTCTTTAGAACCTTGCTACTAGTAGTGTGGTCCCAGAACAGGAGCACAGACATCACCTGGGAGCTTATTAGAAATGCAAAAATCAGTGGCCCACCACAGACCTACTGAATCAAAATCTGCATTTTAACAAGATCCCAGGTGATTCATAGGCACTGAAAATTGAGAAGCAGTGCTCTAAAATAAAACAAAACCGAAAAGACAGAAAACCCGGAACATTCAGCCATTTGAGCAACCCATTCAAATCCAAATCCAAAAAAATTTCAGTCATTTACCAGCGGGCTATTCCATCCCTGATGATCGGAAGAGCGAGAGTTTCTGTGTATGTCACTGTCCTCTGTGTGTCACTGTTCTTAGGCATTTTGATCTAATGAATGGCTACAGTTCCCATCTCCATGGGAGAATAAGGCAGAAAAGAAAACTGTTGAAAGAGACCCAGCCTAGGGCCCTTGGAACAAGGGAAGAGGAAGGAGAAAGGTACTCTTACTGTCATGGCCTTTAAAACTATTTTTTGATAGAAACTGATTTGCTAGTAAAAATGTCTGATTCCCATGAAGAAAAGATAAAACCAGCCCTGTCCGCTGACACTGTAGAAGTCAATGTAGCTGAGTCCTCTGGATGTAAGAAAAAAAGGCAGCTTGAGAAACTCTAGAAGGCTACAGAGGCATGATGAATTTCATCTCTTGACTGATTTTTGCTCCATTAGTGCAGATAGAGCAAGGCTTATGATACTGTAAGACTAAAAGCCTGGCCTGGTACGGTCAGCAAAGGCTGCACATGGATGTGTGTATACAAGGGGAGAGTGGGAGAAAGGTGTACTTAGACGTTTCTCTGTAACTAAAAGTCAGAGCGACATCTCCAAGGCTTGTAGCCATGGTTAACTAACTCCCATGCAGCCCACATCTTCAGAAAGTATAATAAATCAAGACCTTCTCACAGAAAAAGGACAGGAAATGGCCTCTTTCCCAGGCAGAAATGTCATATTAGACATTAGATAACATGCATAATTTATATCGAGGTCATAATCCTTGAGGTTACCTAATACCTTGTATTTCTTTTTTTTTTTTTTTTTGAGGGGAAACTGAAAATCGTTTTCATGTATAGACTGTGGAACATGAGCTCATTAGACGACACAGGCTAGAGAGAAGAATATTGTGTACTCACGTATAGGTAAGTCAGACAATATGTTGAAAAGAGCTAAGATATGGACTGAGAACAGAAGTTCGATGCTCTTAATTCTGCCTGGCCAAGGGGAAGTCCGTTGCAAGGACAAAAGCGTGGATCCAGGAGAAGGAATAAGGAGTTATCTTTTGTATAACGGGTGGGCAGGGAGAGGAGGCGAAGGCGGAAGTAAAATACAATGGGCAGTTGATTTTAATGAGAAACCTGCTGAAGAAATAAGAATTTAGGAATTAAAGAAACATTATCATATCTTCCAGTGAAAGTTCACTGGAAAGAGTAGGATCAACATGATTACTGGATGTAGAAGCCACTTTTCTCTGATGTTAAAAGTATAAAAGATATGTATGTATTTGTTTAAAAAACACCTTCACATGTAATTTTATACTTAGGAACACAGGGAAAAGAGCAATCTCACTAAAATTTAGACTAGAGAAAGTCTAAAACCTTAATTATAGAAATAGGTAATTATTTATCCTAACATAAGTCCTGATAGAGAAATTTGAAAACTAGTTTAAATGTTCAAGAAAAATTAGTTGAATACCAGTAGTCAAATGATAGATACTTAAAAACAAAACACTTCTGTAAGGGAATGTGATGATAAATTAGTAGAGCCCCGTTCCAACACTTACACTTCAAGGAGACACACACACATGACAGGAACACATGTGAAGAGCAACGAAGAAGAACTGTGTATGAGGGAAAGCTGAGGGAAGTTTGGACGAGTCAACATCACTCCTTGTGGCTCCCTATCACCAGAATATCTGGTCGCTGTCATTAACTGAATCCTGGGCATTTCCATTTGGATGCTTCACCCTTAACACAATTTATCTAGAACTAAGATCATTATCCTACTTCTAAGATAATGTGATAGCAAATCTCCTATTCCTGTTTACTGTATTAAATAATTGCCTATTTCTTATTTCTTTCTCTAGGAACATTTAAAAATGCTTCCTCTCCTTTCACATCAATCAGTCCACAAAACTTGGCCAGTTGCCATTTAATCTTCTAACCATCCCTTTGTTCCCCCTCCACTGCTCATCCTAGGTTAAATCCCATCACCTCCACTCTGGATTACTGAATGACCATCTAATTAGCATCTGTGCCTCTAGTCACTCTCTCTCTCTCTGTCTGTCCCCCCACTCCCTGCCTCCTTTGCTCCCTTCCCCTCACTCCCTTTTTTCTCTCTCTCTCTCTATCCACCTGATTTTTTTAAGCTCCCTATGGCCATAGTAATCTTACAACTTGATCATCTCACTCTCTTGCTCAAAATATTTCACGGGCTTTCTACAGTGAATTGAGTGACTGCCCCCCTCCCAAAAATATCCCTGCCCCCATCCCAAGAAACTGTGAATACCACCTGATTTGGAAAAAGGGTCTTTGCAGATGTAATTAAGTTAAGGACCTCAAGATGAGTCCATCTCAGATTATCTGGGTGGGTCCTAAATCCAATGACAAGTGTCCTTTTAAGAGACAGAGAAATAGAAGGCCATGTAAAGACAGAAAGCCTAGAGGGAGGTCGCCACAAGCAAATGGGTGCCTGGAGCCATGACAAGCCAAGACCGAAAAGCCTACAGAAATTGAAAGGCTCACATAATGAGAGTGAGCAATAAATAATGGATGAACATTTCCAGCATAAAAGAAAAAGAAATTTGCAGATTGAATGCATATGTTGAGAATCGAGTAAGATATATCAAAATACATTTGAATGCACCTAGAAATATGGTCAGGGAAATTACTGAACACCAACGATTATCATAATATTTGAAAAACGGCCAGAGAAAAATGACAGATTACCCACGAAGAATTAACAATGTTGTCTGACAACAACAGATGCATGAAAATAGAATTAAAATAGTCACCCATGAAAACTCTCAAAAGTAGTTTTACTTGAAAGAGATCAATGCTTTGCATAAAACGTCAGCACTTATAAAACATGGCGTAGTTGACACTGACTAGACCACACAGACACACAGACAACATGGTGCTGAGCGCGGTGGGAACGACATGGGCAAGTGATGGTGTGTGGGAGCATCTGCACAGGCGTGTCTAGTGTGACTGTATGCACAAGTATATGCACACCAGCACACAAATGAACACATGCATCCACCCCCGGTCATAATATAACTAACTCCCTTTAGGAATGTACAATCTAGCTAAGGAGAGAAAACTACCACACACACAAAGGAATTAAAGAGCAATTACAGACTCAGCTGAGTTAGTTACAGTTACTGCATCAACAAAAACAGGAGTTCAGAAGTGGGCAAGATCAGCAGGATGACCTGGGGTGCAAAGAGGAGACCGTGTGCCAGACCTCACAATCTGCAACCGAAGGTAAGGAGCAGGGGGTGAATTCGGAGTGGAGAAGAAATGAGCACAGTATGTGGTCCCGAAATAAGAGCGTCTAGATTCTATCACAGGATGTATGTTGAAATCAGTGGGGAACAAAGCTGAATAGTCAGTTTTTAAACAGATTATGGCAAATGTTTGGGATCTAAAATCAATGTACCAACTCTTAAAGGATTTTTTTAAAGATTTTTTATTTATTTTAATGTACCGACTCTTGATATCCAGTAATATACTAATAAAAACAAAGTAAAACCCACTTTCACTTATAATTCATAACACATCAAGGACATTTCAATTACCTTTGATGTCCCTTTAGTAGAAAAATATAAACCAGATCTTCTTAGAAGGAAGTAAATCTTTTTCCAGGACTTCTTTCCCTGCTCTTTTGCATGTAAGAAGCCATGGATTTCAGGGTATGTGCTTGAACTCAGAAACATCTGCAAGAAAAGTCAGACATCCTCATGCTGTTTCTGAATCGATAATACTGTAGCCTTACAGTAACCTAAGATTTCAAATATAGACATGTAAACTCTAACAGTGTCAATACCACTTAAATGTATCATTACAGGCATGGCAATATAAATGCAACAGAAAATAAATCAGTCTTTTGATAACCTGAGGCAAGTTCCAAATGAAAATCTGTTCACAAAATATACATTCTAAGCGGTCAGGACTTAGCCAAACACCAAAATGATAAGTTTTTTGAATGTCTATTTGGAAAGCTAGATTTCATCTAAGAGTTAAGTCCTGATACTTTTCATCCTTTTCTATGATTGTCCCTGAGAGCTTTTCAACTTCATTACAGCATAAGTAGAAGACCACCATCTTGACTTCAATTATTCAATTGTTTAGAAAGTTGAGCCGAGTTCACCTCCTTGATGAGGTAAAGCAAACAATCTTTTCTTTGTCCTCTATGGGGCTCAGTGGGGGGTGGCTATGGCACCTTGTGTTTTCCAAAGAGAACCGCAACATTATCTCCCATCCCACATACTCTTCTGCAAGGTTATCTTGCCACCTAACCGTGAAGAGCTGGAGTCTGTTTCTCTACCCCTTTGAATCTGAGCAAGGCTTATAACTCTTTAACCAATGGAATATGGCAGTAGTGACAGCTTGTTCTAGTTCTAGTCCTTAACTAGCCTGATGGCCTACACCAGTTAACTCCTGGAAGCTAGCGGTCACATAAGAAACGTGACTACCCTGAGACAGCTCTGCTCTGAGAAGGCTGATGCACTATTAAAGCCCGTGAGGATGGAGACCCCATGTGGAGAGAAGAGAGGTCCAGGGGTAGCAGGGACACATAGTGAAAAGCCATCTTAGAAGGGGATCCTCAACCCCCAGAGAGTCAAGTGCCTCAGAGATGACCCACCCAGCTAAACCCTCTCCGAATTCCTGACCCACAAAACTGCTGGCAAAATGTGAGTGGGTACTTAAGCCAGTAAGGTTTGGAATAGTTTGTTACAAAGTAATAATGAGCTGAGACAGTAGGCATGTGCTGGTCAGGAAAATGAGAATGAAAAGGAAGAGCTCTGTATGAGTCGTTCTACTCAGCATCCTTAATAAGACAATGGAAATGCATTAGCATCTCATTAGAAGAAGAAAACACAAATCCCTATGAATAAACAAATGCAAGATGGAAAAACTGAAAGTAAGAGAAATTACTACCTGAAATGATGTGACATATTTTAAAAGGCTACTCAGGGAAATGCTGAGAAGAGATATGTATGTTTTTAAGTAAATTATTAAAAAATTTTTAACGTAATGAGCCACAGTTATTAATTAATTGACATGCAAAACAGGCAAGTAGGTTTTTAGTTTGAGTGCTTTCCAAGTTATTAAACCAAACCAATTAAATTTTAAAAAGGGAGTCACAGAGGTCATACTAGAAAGAGAAGAAACGTTTTAAAAAGTGGAAACATTGCCTCAGTGGAGAGAAAAGGTCAGAGGCACATGCAGGGCTATCTGATTCCAAAGCTATGATTTTTCTTGTTTTTGTAATTTCACATTAAAGTAATATAACTATATTAGAGGAGAACTGGGGGAAGGAGGTGCAATAAAAACTCCAACCCGCCACACTGTCACAATCCAGTGGTGAAGCACCGAGAGGGCCTGGGAGCCGGGGGGCGGGGGGGGGGGGTCCTCACGCACAGCTGCTGCCGCCCCTGCCATTCAACCTAGTATTCTGATGGGGTGTCTGCAAAACCCGGTAGCACAGAAGACGCTTTTAGGAAAATCTCTGAGACTAATCATGTTGCTAAAATATTATGAAGAGCAAAAATGAAATATAACCTATTAAAAAGCCCATAGAAAACAGATCCGTACCACCCAATGTATTTACCGATATGTTTAAATACCAATATGCTTAAAGTAGTATCTATATAGGAAATATTAAAAGCTGTCTTCTTTAAAGATCAGAGAATACTGAATGGGTATGACCATATCCGCAGGCTTAGATCAAACAGTAACCATTATAAAGACACTGCTGAACATTAACCTGTTAACAACTGCAGAGCTTCTGATGTGAAATCTACTGACCTACAAAAAATAAAATAACGAAAATCATTCTTTTATTGTAATGAAAATATCTTTTAAAAATGATCACATAAAGCCACTGCCAGTTTCGAAGAAATGAGCCCCAAAGATGCAAAACTAAGGTGATTTTTAATTAAATAACTAGTATTCTTATTTCAGCTAAGACATTTCGGAATTCTGCTCAAGTATCCAACATAGCTAATGACACGTCAGTGTACAAAATATATATTTTTTCTATCTTTTTTTCTCCTTTCACTCAGTTGCTAAATATTTTATCACAAATAGGATTGGGAGCATTTGTTATAAAGGTTAATACTAAATATCTGTTAGCAAAATCTCTACAATTTACTGGGGATTTTGATTTTTCAAAAAGGCTAACATAGACTTTAAACACATCACAGAGCAAAATTCCGCAAGTTTCCTTTCATGATACACATTTTTTGAACACATTTTTTAAACACTGAAAATCCTTTGACAATTGGCCAAAACTAGAAAGAATACTGGTGTTAGGAGCCTTTCCTGATTTAGGGACTTCTTTTTTCAGGTTTTGTTCTTTTCTTTTCTTTCCTATTCTTTCTTTTCTTTCAGGTTCACCTCCAGCAAAAATTCATCCATCGAGGTATAACATTTCAAAATCTAGGCATGTAAAAATATGGACCTTAAAGTTTCCCTTTATTACACTGTTACTTACATACTTTAATGGAAATATATTTTACCTGCAAAATCTGTGTGGGGGATATTTCACCATTGGTTTCAGTTGCAAAAGACACCATATGCTCTGGAAAAAAATACTGACGAAAAGATACAGGTTACATTATTTCAAAAGCCATGTTAGAAAAGATTCAATTGTGACCAATATAGTAAGCTCCAGCAAAAGTTCTTTAAATCAGTGTGTTGAAAATTCACCTAAAGTCCTTCTCAAAATGCCAATCCCTGGACTCTACGTTCAGGTATCTTAATGAGAAGGTAGGAGTAGGGCCCAAAGAGTAGCAAGCACCCTCAGATAACGCGGATGCAGAGAGAGCCACATTCGTCAAGTTCAAAACAGTGCCCTCAGGATGACAGCGTGCTTGTTCCCCTATTTCTTCCCTGAGTCCTGTGGGCACTCTGGCAGGTAATAAAGGACCATCAACTCCATGTCACAAAGTCAAGGCTCCTAGAAGTAAGGGGTATACCCAAGGTCATAGCCACACGTAAAGGAACCAGGACTTGTTGCAGGGCCAGGGAGCTAAAAGTCACGTCCTTTTCAACATTGTTCAATCATAAAATTCACCTAGGGCAGTTGTTTAAAATAGGAATTCCCAAGCCTCGTTCCTAGAGTGTCTGATTCAGTAGGTCTGGGTACTCTCTCCCCCCCCAGGTAATTTTTATGATCAGACACATTTGGGAAAATATAGACTACTATATTTCCTCCAAGGATAGGGTTTTACAACAGTTCTACTACCACTTGGTCTAATACTGTGGTATTAGTTACAGCATTCCTGGCCTCTATCTCCTAGCAGCCCCCCTGCCCCTCCAGCCCTGGAATGACAAGCAAAAATGTCTCCAGACATTGTCAAATCGCCCCCAGTTGAGAACCACAGCTCTAGGTCTACAAAATGAGTGTACAGCCTTGTTCAAATAATAATAATAATAATAAAATATAAAAAAACAAGCACTAAAACCATATGCCTTTAACTATACTTTTAAATTCTTGCTTTTAACAAAGATTAACAACAAGAAAATCGTTTCCCTTCAAATTCTAATTCTATTTGATTTTTATTAGGACTCTTATTTTCTTTGTCAAAGATCATCCCATTATGTTTTTATTAATAGGTTCAAATAAAAGAGAACATAAGAGGTCTTTCAGGGTTTGAAAATATTCTATTATAGTGTGTATCATATATTTTTCATAAAGGATCATTTCAATCCAATTATCCAAAACTTCGTGTAAAAATATGCTACAGCTGCAGAGACAAAAACAATTTAAAATAATGAGCCCAGAGGCTATTCTGACTTTTCCAGATCCCTAGGTCTTCACTAGAATGTGACACATATTTCTTTTCTTTTAAAGAGAACTATCATGAAAGCAGTATTTATTAGATAATGCTCTGGTCTTTAACTCATTTCTACTTAGCTCAGTCATTACTGCACTGAAAAAATATTTTGGAACAGCAAGATTCATGTCAATCTGAAAATTTTTGGCTAAGCTATAGCACTCCCAACAATCATCAATCTGTTTTTACTTTAGAAATTTTCTTATTTAAATTTCCTAAATTCTATGAAAAGTGTTAAACTATAATATTTTGGAGCTGCTTAAGGATATCTAATAATTGATTCCCCAAATTAAATGTATACTATCTTCTTTTTCTTAAAAAGCAAGAAAAAGTTCTGTGATTCAGCAGTCTTACACAATTCACAGCGCTCACCATAGCACATACCCTCCCCAGTGTCTATCACATAACATAATAAAAAAAAAAAAGACAAGGAGAAATTTAAAAAAAAAGCAAGAAAAAGAAGAAATAGCTCCCCAAAATAGTTAATCTGAACTTCTGTGATAATGCTGACTAATCATTGTTAGACTACAAAGAAACGTAACTATGATGTTCACGGAACAGAATTTTTACCTACAATTTACCGAATGGAGAATTGTATTTGATTTATGGTGACTCTTTTCTTCACATAAAGTAAAATAACATTTAATGAATTCATTTATTTCCCATAACTATTAATGGGGATTTCACTTACCATTGGGTTTTTAAAGAATTCATATTTGGCATAATTTTTTCTAAAGTATAGTTTATTTTCTTCTTCCATTCCCCAGGTAGATAGCACTTCAATCACCAGCTCATGGTCTTCCATTGTTCTTTCTGTAAGGAATGTTTCCGTGAGTATGTCAACAGAATGATGGATGGATGGATGGATGGATAGATGGACAAATGAATAGATAGAAAAGACAGACAAACATGTAGGTAGAAAGAAATATACATGGACACATGTACCCACACAAATTTATAAATTTATGTATGTATCTTTATTAAATATAGCAAATTTCAATTCAATTCTAGAATAGCCAGATTGATACTATTTTAGCAATTTTGAATTAGTAATGTTGATTTTTTATACCAAAGCAGACTGTAACCTGAGGAGAAAAATGACAAAATGTCACAATGCACTTTTTGCTAATTGCCAATTCCTTTTACTGCTATGTAAATTATAATTAAGTTTGATAACAAATCTGCATTAAGGATGAGGGAGCTATTCTTTTTTTCTCCAATTTGTCATGATGCCAAAATTAAAATATTTGCCTCAAAGTAGAACAATTCACCCCATTAAGAGATGAAAAATTTTGACAGGTTCAAAATGCATTTAAGATATATAGTCTGGATAGTTCAGAAAAATTAAAATAAATGCTTTAAAAGGAAAAATTTTTATGCAAGAACGTACAACTTTGAAGAAACCTAATTTATTGTGGCACTTTATCCTTTCAAAACTAATGTTCAGGCAAATATATTTTAGGCAGTCTAGAAAGGCGCTTGGGAGGAAAGGTACTTAAATGAAATAAGCAAAAGCAACTTTATAGAGGGGAACATAACATGCACAATTCCTATTTTAATAAGAAACTTGATGTCCATAGTAGTGCTATTCATAATAGCCCCAAACTGGAAACTACCCAAATGCCAATCAACATGAGAATGAATGAATAGTGTAAACAGTGTAATAAGTAGTGGAATACATACTACAACAACACATAACTGTATGGGTGAATTTCACAAACATGACATTAAATGAAAGAAGTCAGGCACAAACAGTACATACTACATGCTTACACTTACATAAAGTTCAACACAGGTAAAATAAATCTATAGTGTTAGAAATCAAGATAATGGGGAGAGTGGGTGAGGGAGCAGGGGCTTGAGGGAAACAACTGGGTGTAGGAGATACTGTTTCATTCTGGGTATTGGATATCCAAGTTTATGCAACATGAGAGTTCACTGAGTTGTCCACATATGGCTTGTTCACTTTTCTTAAGGTATATCATATTTCAATAAAAGGTTAAAGAAAAGTTACTGTGAAATTACTAATGCAAAACAGGAAGTGAAGAACAGCCAACTAAGGAATATAGAAATCCTCTGCTTTTTTTAGGTGCTTCTAGGACCTTTTTGGGAAAAGTATCTGTGTCTCAAACATTCAACACTCAGTAGTGATCTGTGACTTACAACACCCAAACCCTTGAAAGTAATGTCATACTTAAATAGAAGTTTATTCATCTGAAAGAATTCTCAATGAATATGGATGAGTTTGAGCTAAGTGTGCATCAACACTCTGGGTTCTGTTTCTAACTCCAGTTGCTCTTTTTCTGTCTCACTGATGAGCTCCCATAGCTCCTCCTCCCTCCTAAGATGCAATCCTTGGCTAAAATCTTTTCTTTCCGTTTCTTAAGCTAATTCACTCTCCTTCAGCCATCCCGCCTGTTGAGTTCCTTGAGATGAAATCTCTGGCTACAGTTGCTTTTACTCATGCTCTAGTCCCAACTGTTAGACTTTCCAACACCTCAAACACAGTTTGTCTAAATCCAAAGTCAGTATGGTGGTTCCCCCAAAATAGTAAACAATTCCAGCAATGCCAATCCTGAGCATATAACCAAAAGAAATGAAAGCAGAGACTAGAACAGATGTTTGTATACCAATGTTCATAGTAGCATTATTCATGATAGGTAGAAACACCCTAGTGTCCACCAACAAGATGAATGGACAAACAACATGTAGGACACACATACAATGGAATATTTAGCCTTAAAAGGGAATGAAATTCTGACATGTGCTACAACATGGATGGACCTTAAAGATATCATATGTAAAATAAGAAGACGTAAGAACCGATATTATAGGATTCCTTTTATATGTGATACCTGGAATAGACAAATTCGTAGAGACAGAAAGTAGAATGGGGGTTGCAGGGACTAGGGAGCAAGGGGTTATTGTTCAATGGGCTCAGAGTTTCACTATGAGAAGATAAAGATGTTCTGGAGATGGGTAGTGGTGATGGTTGTACAACAGTATGAATGTACATAAGGCCAATGAATTATACCCTTAAAACTGGTAAATTTTATGTTATGTACATTTTATCAAAATAAAAAATAAACCTGAAAACAAAGTCATCTTCCCTTTTCTCTCTCAAACTGCTTTTTCCTAAACTCTCCTATCTCCATTGCATCTTTATAGCCACTCCTCTATGCCCCACTTCCACTATCCCCAGACACCAGGGATTTGCCCTCCAAATGTCTCTCAACAACCCCTCACATTGTCACAATTCCAATTTAGACCTTCACTTTTTCTTAACTAATCTCCAAACTTCTGGTTTCTCTTTCTTCCAATCCAACCTGGACACTGATACCATAGCAAACCTCATAGAACATGTGTGTCAATGTAACCCTTGCTCAAAATACTTTCTACTCCCTACTTGCTGTGGGATACATCCATGTAGTCTGGCAGTTATACTAACCATTCATCCATTCCACAAATATTTACTGAAGGCCTACCATGTGTCAGACATTCATCTTGGGGCTTGGAATTTTGTAGTGCATAAAACAGTCAGAAGTCACTGCCTCAGGGAGCTTTCATTCTAATGGGAAGATGAGGACTATAAATAAAATGTAAATCTTAACAGGCAAGTGATAAACACAACAAAGAAAAATAGAGCAGGGCACAGGGAGAGAGGAGGCCATAGGGGAAAAGAATTCATTTTCAACAGCTTGCCAGGATAGGTCTCATTGAGAAGGTAATGTTTGAACAAAGACCCAAAGGAGAAAGGGGCCTGAGCCAAGCAGACACCAACAGGAAGAATAAGAACAAAGCCTCTGAGGCAAGAGCAAGACTCTATGTTTGAAGTACCACAAGGAGGTCAATGTGGCTGAAGCTGAGTGAGCAAAGGGGCAAATACTAGGAGAGGTTAGAGAAGCAATGGTGATGAGCTGGGAAGTCTGGAGAAAGCCCTCCAGTTCATAGTGAGGTTCTGGTGTTTCCTTAGAGTCAGATGAGAAGTCATTTTGTATGGAGGTTCCTCAAAAAGTTGAAAACAGAGCTACCATATGATCCAGCAATTGCACTACTGGGTATTTATCCCAAAGATACAAATGTAGTGATCTGAAGGGGTACGTGCACCCCAATGTTTATAGCAGCAATGTCCACAATAGCCAAACTGTGGAAAGAGCAAAGATGTCCATCGACAGACGAATGGATAAAGAAGATGTGGTGTATATATACAATGGAATATTATGCAGCCATCAAAAGGAATGAGCTCTTGCCATTTGCAACGATGTGGATGGAACTGGAGGGTGTTATGCTGAGCGAAATAAGTCAATCAGAGAAAGACATGTATCATATGACCTCACTGATATGAGGAATTCTTAATCTCAGGAAACAAACTGAGGGTTGCTGGAGTGGTGGGGGGTGGGAGGGATGGGGTGGCTGGGTGACGGACATTGGGGAGGGTATGTGCTATGGTGAGTGCTGTGAATTGTGTAAGACTGTTGAATCACAGACCTGTACCTCTGGAGCAAATAATACATTATATGTTAAAAAAAAAAAAAAAGAAGGTAGTAGGAAGGGAAAAATGAAGGGGGGGAAATCGGTGGGGGAGACGAACCATGAGAGACTATGGACTCTGAGAAACAAACTGAGGGTTCTAGAGGGGAGGGGGGTGGGGGATGGGTTAGCCTGGTGATGGGTATTAAAGAGGGCACCTACTGAATGGAGCACTGGGTGTTATACACAAACAACGAATCATGGAACACTACATCAAAAAAATAAATAAATAGGGGGAAAAAAAAAAAGAAAAACTGTAAGAGAAGTGGGTTGGGGAGAGTCAACAGTTACTGAGATATCCAGCGGCAAGTCACATCCCTAACAATCTCTCTATTATTCTTACTTTTGTCTACTTCTCACACAAACCAGCTGGTATTTTCAGGCTTATGAAACATAGTCTCACATTCAACATACTATATGCTAAGCATGATATCCATATTTTTTGCAACTGCAGCAGAAGAAAATTTCAAGGTAGTAAGCAAGATGTTTGCTTGTTTTACCAACCTGTGTTTCTTTGTACCCATTACCTCTACCACTAAAGAATCCTATGTTCTGCCCTCAAGATATGCTATGCAGAGAGGAAAAAAAATTACAGAAATGCATTTTATTTACTTTTGAGCTTCACAATGAGACTTTATCAATCTTTGACAGATATAAGTGCTTGGGGAGATCATGCCTAGCCAATCCTTGATTGCCTCATATAGGGACCCACCTTCTGTCTTCTGAGAAAGTTGCTGCAGTTAAGAGGTTGGTGGAGGAAAGGATGGAATAGAGATTGAGCTAGAAAAAGTGGACAGTGTAGGACCAAGAGACCCTGTATCCAGTCCCCTTCAAGAACGAGAACGCTTTCAGGGTGACAAGTTGATGGTGATAAAACACCAGATAAGTTTAATGATGCTATGTGGCTCAAACCAGAGGATAATGTTAGGAGACATCTAGCTTCCAATAGAAACCCTACATCTAGCATGATGGAGAAGCCATAACTGAGGGCAACATCGAGGCAGAGGAGTCCATAGCATCCCATTATGGAGAAAGAGCATATGGCAACAGTACCACATCCCCATCGGGAACATGGATGAGCTAAGAGAAGAGCATGCACTTTAAGTGGCTTTATGGTACTCAAATAAATTTGAGAGGAACAAGAGTTTCCAGAACATGAAGAGCTGGACAAGGGTTAGGCAAATACCCATCCTGGGACTTAATGCCTCACCAGCATGTTGCAGAAGTGAAAGTAGGTCTAAACCTTCAATTGAGAATATTTAAACCTGTATGTAACTCATTTA